TCATGCCCTGATACTAGGAGATCTATCACCGGCCTCTATGTTTTTTTTGGGAGATAGTCTGATATCTTAGAAATCAAAGAAGCAACAAACTGTTTCCAAATCTTCCTCTGAAGCCGAGTATCGTGCACTTGCTGCTGTTACATGTGAAGTTCAATGGCTTACTTATTTATTGAAAGACTTGCAGATTCCTCAAGTTGCCCCTACTCTTGTGTTCAATGACAATCGATCAGCTCTTCACATTGCTCGTAATCCAATTTTTCATGAGCGTACAAAACATATTGACATAGATTGTCACATTGTACGAGAAAAGTTGCAAGCTGGTCTGATTCACCTAATGCCAATAACTTCTGAAGACCAATTAATTGACTGTTTCACTAAGCCCTTGCCACCTCACTCATTTAATAGTTCAATTCACAAGCTGGGCATTCAAAATTTGTATGCTCCAACTTAAGGGGGGCTATTAGAGACTACACCAGCACCTCACAAAGTTAGTCACAATTAGCCAAGATTGGCTAACCAAGATTAGTTATGAGTTAGTTATGAATTTGTTAGCAATTTCTTTTTTCTTTCTTCCTCCCTTTTGCTGTAAATAAACCCCTTCTGTATTACTCTTCAGATTAATAAAGAGCATTATCTCTCTCTACAAATTCTAATAGATAATATGTAAACAATAAGGGTAAAATTAGTCAATTTGCTAAATCATATGCAAATAATATGTAAAGGGCATTTGTATCCTTTCATATGCCACTTAAAAGTTGGTTAATGACTTTTGAGTTTTGACTAAACACCAGTTTTTGGAAGTTAGGCTATGTTTAATTGTAATGCAAATGAATTTGCACTGGTGCAAAAACCATAGCAATGCAAATGATTTGAGTGTAAATTTTGACATACTTTTATTTTGAATTTGTTACTTGTTTTGTTTGATCCAAGTACAAATGAAACATGAAACCGAACAAAGTAAAATCTAAAACAAAATTAAACAAGAATTTTGTACTCTCATACATTTGTAGTAATGCAAATAAAATTGCACACATTTTAAAATTTGGATACTAAAGTGAGACTAGCCCCAAAGTAGAAATTACTAATCTGTTATTTACCCTAATAAATTCATATAATTTACCCTTAAATAAATTCATATAATGTCGCTTCAAAAGAAAAAAAAAAACAGCAGAAGCAAAACAAATCAGAGAACAAACTACTAATTTTAATGCAAGAGCAAGAGCAAGACAAAAGGTTTCTACTATTTTGTCGGTGGAAAAAACATTTACAAGGAGCTTATTTTTCAATATTACATCCACATCGCGTCCAACATTAAACAAACAACTTCAATACAATTTTACATTATCATTGTTTATTCATTCC